TATAGCAGTTTCTCTGAAACTGCTATAATTATGAAAAAATGGGTTAACCCTAGAAGGACCTGGCACCCAGACCACTTCATTAAGCTGAAGTGGTCTGGGTGCCTAGAGTGGTCCTTTAACATCACACAATTGTATTATTTATTATTATTATTATTATTGCCATATATATAACTCCAACAGATTCCGTAGCACTTTACAATATTATGAGAGGGGGGATGTAACTATAAATAGGACAATTACAAGAAAACTTACAGGAACAATAGGTTAAAGAGGACCCTGCTCAAACGAGCCTACAGTCTATAGGAGGTGGGGTGTAAAACATAATAGGACAGTAAATAGCAATCAAACAAGGTGGGAGTGAAGCAGGGCTGGAGGAGAGCGTAAAGTGCTGCCCTATAGGAGAGAGCAAGAGACAGGTGTGTAAGGTAGAGGTTATTCTGGGAGGCCATAAGCTTTCACAAAGAGATGGGTTTTAAGGCACTTCTGAAATGATTGATGACTGATGGGGTTAGGCAGGCTATTACATAGGAAGGGAACCGCCCGCGAGAAGTCCTGCAAGTGCGAGTTGGCTGTACAGATGCGGTCAGGAGGGGGTCACGGGCAGAGCAGAGGGAACGTGGAGGGGCATACCTATGGATCTGTGAAGAGATATAAGAGGGCTAGAATTGTTCAGTGCTTTATAGGTATGGGTTAGCACTTTGAATTTACTTCTATAGGATACAGGAAGCTAATATAATGACTGATAGAGGGGTGTGGTATGAGAGGAAAATCAGTCTGGTGGCGGCATTCATTGCAGACTGTAGTGGGGCGATGCAGCTTTTGGGAAGACCAATTAGGAGAGGGTTACAATAATCCATGCGAGAATTTACTAGAGCATGGACAAAACAGCGCGCTTGCAAGGATGGACTTGTGTGGATACCACTGACTTGAAGGGAGAGTGAGAGAGGAGGATCAGTGTTAGAAGGAGGAAAGACAAGGAGTTCAGTTTTAGAGAGATTGAGTTTCAGAAAGCGGGAGGACATCCAGTCAGAGTTGGAATAAAGGCAAGGCTGGAGAGAGGTCCGGGGAGGAGAGATATATTTGGGTGTCAACAGCATATAGGTGGTAGTGGAATCCAAAAGAGGCAATAAGTTTGCCAAGAGGCAATGAGTTTGCCAAGAGAGGCAGTATAAGGAGAAAATAGAAGGGGACCAAGGACAGAGCCTTGGGGAACTCCAACCAAGACAGGATGAGGGAAGGAGGTATCCTTGGAAAAGGAGACACTGAACTAGAAAAGCTAAAATTTCTGGGGAAATTGTGTGAAGTGTTCTTGCCTCCACCAGTAGTCTACAACTGGAGTGGGCGGAGTAACTGTTATCATTTATATAGCACATTTAATTGCAACGTTATTGCACAGTTACATTAAACCATACATTTATAAAAACATTAGCAGGTGTTCAAAAGGCCCTGTCTATGACATCACTTGCTGCTGCAGCCTGACACAGGTCAGAGTATTTTGGCGGTTGCCATCTTCAAATGGTCGTATTTTAAAAACTATAAATCCTACAGCGAAGAGCTTTTTATATTGTGAGAATCACAAGACCCATGTCCTGATTTTTCAGCTTTTGCCAGCTCCCACTCTAGCTTTGCCATTCATTCCTATGGGACAAATTGCGCCACAAGAACGACGATATTCCGTGAACCATTCGGCGAAAGGTTCCACAAAGTAATAGCAATCCGATCGGGAACAATCTGCACGTTTTGGTAAATTTTGGTTTATGTAGTGTAAAAACTGAGGGAGGAGTTAGGGTGGCAAATTTGGCTATAAGAATAATATATATGTGAGATAACAATAAGTGGTCTTGCTATGCAAGAACACTTAATGAGCGTTGGAAGAGATAAGAGGAAAACCACGAGAGGACAGAGTCACAGAGACCGAGCGATTGGAGAGTTTGAAGGAGGGGAGCATGATCAACGGTGTCAAAGGCAGCAGAGAGGTCAAGAAGAATTAATATGGAGTAGTGGCCTTTGGATTTAGCTGCGATTATATGGTTAGTAACTTTGATAAGAGCAGTCTCAGGAGAGTGGAGATGGCGGAAGCCAGACTGAAGAGGGTCAATGAGAGAGTTGGAATTGAGGACGCGAGACACATGGGTAAAGACAAGTCTTTCCAGAAGCTTTGAGGGAAAAAGGAAGCAGGGATATGTGACAATAGTTAGAAGGGGAGGATGGGTCAAGAGATGTTGTTTTTTTTGTTTTGTTTTTTTTTTCAGGATAGGTACTACAGTGGCATGTTTAAGGTCAGCAGGGACAACGCCAGAAGAGAGAGAGCAGTTGAAGATATGTGTTAGGGAAGGCACAAGACAAGGGCAGAGAGATCTGATGAGTCGAGTCGGGACAGGATCGAGCAGGCAAGTGGTGGGGTGAGAGGAAAGGAGAAGCGCAGCCACCTCATCTTCAATAGCTGGGGAGAAAGTCTGAAGGGTAGGAAAGGCATACACTATGCGTGGTTGAGAAAGAGAATGGAAAGGAGGGGAGAATTATTTCCTTAGCTGTTCAATCTTGTCGGTAAAGTAGCATGCAAAGCTATGGGCTGAAAGGTTAGTTTGGGGGGTGGCCACGGAAGGGCGGAGAAGAGAGTAAGAGGTTTTTTAAAGAGACGCCTGGGATTGCAGGAGCATGAACTAATGAGAGGAAAAGTATGGCTGTTTGGCGAGGACAAGGGCTGCGCTGTGTGAACACAATATGAAATTATAATGATAGTCTTCCTGGGTGCGGGACTTCCTCCAGGAGCGTTCAGCACAATGGGAGCAACATTGCAGATAACGTGTTGATTTAGTATGCCAAGGTTGGGGGTGTGTCCTCCTCTAGATGCATATTTGGAGTGGGGCTGCAGTGTTCAGGGCAGTGGTGAGGGTAGTGGTTTATGTGGAGATGGCCAGTGAGGGACAAGAGAGGAAAGGGATGGATAGCAGTTGTGAATCAATTTCAGCTGACAGCTGCTGGAGGTCAATAGAATTAATGTTCCTCCTGAGTTGAGGGGGGTTAGGCTGAGATTGTTAGGTTAGGGGGCAATTGAGAGCAATCGATCAGAGAGAGGAAATGGAGTGTTGCAGATATTAGATACTGTACATGCATAAGAGAAAATTAAGGTCGAGGGTATTGCCAGCTACGTGCGTGGGAGAATTAGCCCACTGCAATAGCCCGAGGGAGGAAGTAATTGAAAGTAGTTTGCTGAGTGGTAGTGGTTGCTGAGGTCAAAGATGGGTTAATGGGAATATTGAAGTCTCCAAGAATTAGGGTTGGAATATTAGAAGAGAGGAAGTAGGTTAGCCAGGCAGCAAAGTGGTAAAGGAAGAGGATAGGCGAACCAGGGGGACGATAGATAATGGCAATGTTAGCAGAGATATGTTTGAAAAGGCGAAATTAATTGCAAATGATGGGAAAAGGAGAGGGAAAGGGGGAGTGGGCAGAGTTTTAAAGGAGCAGTAGGGTGAAAGGAGAGGACCTACACCGCCACCTTTTCTCTCGGCTTGTCTTGGATTGTGGGTAAAGTGAAGACCACCAAAGGATAGTAAGGCAGGGGTAGCAGTATCAGAAGGAGAGAGCCATGTTTCTGTTATTGCAAGTAGGTTTAGGGAGTGTGAGTTAAATAGGTCATGGATGGAAGTTGATTTAAAGGTGCTACACACTAAATGGGCATTCCAGAGGGCAGCTTTAAAGGAGGACTTATAGTGAGAATTACATGGAATGGGTATTAGGTAGCAGAGGGACCAGGGTTTGGAGAATATATAATATGTTGGGACCACTGCCACACCACAGACACTTTTTTGCATGTCCACCACATATGTACATAATTCCCTTTCTCTTCTCTACAATTACAACATTGGCGAATTTTGATATTCTTACTGGGGTCATGTACCATAAATTTATCAATTTAAAATGGGTTTCTATCAGCGTAAGTGAGTGAATATTTGTTGATTTTATAGGCCATAGATATCCAATCTTTTACATCTATTTTTATGAAGTGTTCTTGCATAGCAAGACCACTTAATGTTATCTCACATATATATTATTATTAAGTGGTCTTGCTATGCAAGAACACTTAATAATAAATCTCACTTATATATTATTAAGTGTTCTTGCATAGCAAGACCACTTATTGTTATCTCACATATATATTATTAAGTGTTCTTGCATAGCAAGACCACTTAATGTTATCTCACATATATATTAAGTGTTCTTGCATAGCAAGACCACTTAATGTTATCTCACATATATATTATTATTATTATTGTGGGAGTGTTCTTGCATATGAGACCATATGTTATCTCACATATATATTATTAGGGTGTTCTTGCATAGAGACACTATGCATCAAAATGTAGGTCTGGGTCTTGTGATTCTCTATTATAAAGCTTTTCACTGTAGGAGTTATAGTGTTTAAGATACGACCGTTAGAAGATGGCAACCGCCAAAATACTCTGACCTGTGTCAAGCTGCAGCAGCAAGTGATGTCATAGACAGGGCCTTTTGAACACCTGCTAATGTTTTTATAAATGTATGGTTTAATGTAACTGTGCAACAACGTTGCAATTAAATGTGCTAAATAAAGTATAACAATTACTCTGCCCACTCCAGTTGTAGACTACTGGTGGAGGCAAGAACACTTTACACAATTTCCCCAGAAATTGTAGCTTTTCTAGTTATTAAGTGTTCTTGCATAGCAAGACCACTTAATGTTATCTCACATATATATTATTATTATTATTAAGTGTTCTTGCATAGCAAGACCACTTAATGTTATCTCACATATATATTATTATTATTGTTAAGTGTTCTTGCATAGCAAGACCACTTAATGTTATCTCACATATATATTATTAAGTGTTCTTGCATAGCAAGACCACTTAATGTTATCTCACATATATATTATTATTATTATTATTATAGCAAGATTTGCCACCCTAACTCCTCCCACAGTTTTTACACTACATAGACCAAAATTTACCAAAACGTGCAGATTGTTCCCGATCGGATTGCTATTACTTTGTGGAACGTTTAGCCGAATGGTTCACGGAATATCGTCGTTCTTGTGGCGAAATTTGTCCCATAGGAATGAATGGCAAAGCTAGAGTGGGAGCTGGCAAAAGCTGAAAAATCAGGACATGATTTCTAAACTGCCACCACTCCCTTATTTTCAGGCCACCTACACAAATCTTATATCAAAACGTTCAGCTATCCCTGCTGCCACTAAACATGTCAACGGCTAAGCCGTAGTCCTGATAGTTTTCACAATATAATCATTTGTTTGCAACTAACGCCGTCCATTGACTTTCATTGAAACTTCACTCTGCAAAGCTCAAATTTGAAGTGCAATTTCTAAACTGCGACTGTGCCTTCAATTTTTATACTTCAGAGACATACTATGCATCAAAATGTAGGTCTGGGTCTTGTGATTCTCACAATATAAAGCTCTTCACTGTAGGAGTTATAGTTTTTAAAGATACGACCGTTTGAAGATGGCAACCACCAAAATACTCTGACCTGTGTCAAGCTGCAGCAGCAAGTGATGTCATAGACAGGGCCTTTTGAACACCTGCTAATGTTTTTATAAATGTATGGTTTAATGTAACTGTGCAACAATGTTGCAATTAAATGCTATGTAAATGATAAGTTACTCCGCCCACTCCAGTTGTAGACTACAGGTGGAGGCAAGAACACTTCACACAATTTCCCCAGAAATTGTAACTTTTCTAGTTATTATTATTCTTATTATTATAGCAAAATTTGCCACCCTAACTCCTCCCACAGTTTTTACACTACATAGACAAAAATTTACCAAAGCGTGCAGATTGTTCCCGATCGGATTGCTATTACTTTGTGGAACGTTTCGCCGAATGGTTCACGGAATATCGTCGTTCTTGTGGCGAAATTTGTCCCATAGGAATGAATGGCAAAGCTAGAGTGGGAGCTGGCAAAAGCTGAAAAATCAGGACATGATTTCTAAACTGCCACCACTCCCTTATTTTCAGGCCCACCTACACAAATCTTATATCAAAGCGTTCAGCTATCCCTGCTGCCACTAAACATGTCAACGGCTAAGCCGTAGTCCTGATAGTTTTCACAATATGACCATTTGTTTGCAACCAACGCCGTCCATTGACATTCATTGAAACTTCACTCTGCAAAGCTCAAATTTGAAGTGCAATTTCTAAACTGCGACTGTGCCTTCAATTTTAATACTTCAGAGACATACTGTCATAGACAGGGCCTTTTGAACACCTGCTAATGGTTTTATAAATGTATGGTTTAATGTAACTGTGCAACAACGTTGCAATTAAATGTGCTAAATAAAGTATAACAGTTACTCCGCCCACTCCAGTTGTAGACTACTGGTGGAGGCAAGAACACTTCACACAATTTCCCCAGAAATTGTAGCTTTTCTAGTTCTTAATTATTTATATGGCTGTGGGTATTTCGGTGATATAATTACCCTCTATTAGTTTAACACATCTGGAGAAAAGCTGTTTTACTTTGTTCTGTTGTAAAATTGTTTTTATTATTTCATACTGGTTTCCTTCTGATACCAGTATAACTTTCTCCAAATAATGTTTAACCCTGATATAAGTGAAAATATCTTCGACTGTCACGTGGAACTCTTCTGCCAACATACTAAAGGATTTTATTTTGTTATCTCTGACTAAATCTTTAATTGTATTTATATGTTTGACTTTCCATGTTTTTAAGAAAAAATTCTTCATTGTAATTTCTAGTGCATTCAAACTTTGAAAGTCAAAGATTTTATTTTCCATATTAATTTTTTAAATAATTTTTGCCATATCAGAATAATTTGGCTAAGAGTATAAGATTTGGATAATTTAAATTTTTTGATATTCCATATTAAATCAAGTGGGTCTTTCAGTTGGCTAACTTCCAGTTCTATATTTAGCTAAGCTTCTGTGCCATAACATGCATGATGACATGCCATAACATGCATGATGATCCCCACCTCATAATATTTTATTATATTGGATATCCCAAACCTCAATTTTTTTTATTCCTCTGGATAACACTGTGTTTTTAATTCTGGGTTTTTTCCCCTTGCCATACATAGTTTGAAAAGGTCATTCTAATCATTGTTAACCATGATGTCGGTATAGCTAGAGGTCAAATATATCCATTTCGGTGAAACATGATTTCAAAATATTTATTCTGCCTCCCCAGGATATTTCTAATTTTCTCCATTCCTTTAAGTTTTTTTAATTTGTTTCCTTTGGGAAAACTATGACATTTATTTGCATAATACTGTTTATATTCTTACAGATTTTAATTCCCAAGCAAACAAAAGTTTTAGCATTTGTAAAGCCATAAGTTTTTTTGGTAGATATCTATAGCTTTTTTTGATAAATTAATATATAGTGCATTTGATTTTGTTTTATTTCATTTATAGTTTGAAACTGCACTATATAGATCTATTTCTGACATCACATTTGGTAAGGAGGTTGAAGGATTACTTAAATAAAGAATTGTATCATCAGCATAAAGTGACATCTTTAATTTATTTTTTATGTTATAAAACCTTTAATCTCTGTACTCTGTCTAATTCTGTTGGCAATACTGCTATAGCTAATATGTATAGGATAGGAGATAAAGGGCATCCTTGGTCTGGTCCTGTTTTTTTAGTTTTAACCAGTTTGAACATATATTAGGACCAATTGTTCTAGCCATTGGATCGCTATATAATGCCATTATTGCGGTTAAAAACCATCCTTTTACTCCAACTGCTTCTAAAATATATTCCATAAAGTCCCAGCTGACCCTGTCTAAAGCCTTTTCAGCATCTAAAGATAGGATCAGCATGAAACTTGAATTTTGTTACAATATGTAAAATACATCATTCAGTCTTCTAATGTTATTATTTGCCATTCTTTCTGGAACAAAGCCTATTTGATCAGAATGGACTAAATATTTCAGAACTTCTTTCATTCTATAGGCTATAATAGAGGAAAATAACTTAATATCTATGTTTATTAATGATATTGATGGTAGCTTTAACGTTAGTTGGATCTTTTCCCGGTTTTAATATTGGTAAAATGTTTGCTTTTAACATTTCATTTGGAAATCTTTGTTTTGAGACAGCAATGTTAAAAGTATTCTTTAGATAACCTACTAGTTGAACTTTCATCTCCTTATAAAATTTATTTCCAAATCCATCTGGGCCTGGAGTTTTTTAATTCTCTAATCTATCAATAGGTCTTATAATATCTTCCTCTGTGATTTCTTTATTTAAAGTATTTAATTGTTAATTTGTTAAATTAGATAACTTGGCTGATTCAATATATTTTTTAATCATATCTAACAGAGTAATATCTGAAAGATTGTACAGTTTTGTGTAATATTCGTTAAAAGCTTTTCCTATTTTATAGTTTATTATAATTTTATCAACCTGTATTTCTTTTTTTGAGCATATTTGACAATCTTATCGGCTCTGTTGTATTTCTGATAGTATTTCATTTTTTTTTTTTTTTTTTCATTTTTTTTCGCAAGTCTTATTTTGGATCTCTATTTTAATCGCTATTTTTAGCTGATTTTCACTACTGGGGTTGGCATTATTTTCTTTAGTGAAATTATATAATAAAATATGAGGATCTGATAGACTTACCCCTCTTTTCTTATCTCTTAATTTCTTTAACATAAGTCATTGGCCTCTAATTACGGCTTTATACGAGCACCGTAGAGTATCCTCCTCTACCTGTCCATTGTTATTTTCTTGAAAATAAAACATTGTCATTTTATCTATGTTTTTTATATTCCTTATCTTGTAATAAAGTATCATCCAATCTCCAAGTTGTATTATAGTTGCTCTATAATTGTGTTTTTTTTTTTTTTTTTTTACTCTGTTATGATCTGACAATGTTGCTGTTTTAATTTCTATTTTATGAGTTCTATCTATCAACTTTGTTTCTCCCAAAAAATCTATTCTGGAGTGAGAATCATGAGGCCAGCAATAAAATGTAAATTTGTTTGAGGGATTGTTCACTCTTCATATGTCATATAGCCCTTTCTTTTTTAAAAGATTATTAAAGGTTTTAACATTTCTTTGGACCCGTTTGTCCCAGGAGTTCTTCCTATTAGAGAACTTATCTATTGAGGGATCATG